CAGAGGCCAGAGAGGACATGGCTGCCCTGGAGAAGGATTATGAAGAGGTGGGCACAGACAGCGTTGGGGATGAAGAAGAGGAAGAATACTAAGATTTACACAACTAAGCTGTAATTGTATTTCACAAAACTGCAACCATATCAAATATTGATTCTATACTTCAAAACAAGAATACTAAATAAAGCAACTGTTAAGCATGTGTCTGTTTTTTGTGTTATAATCTGTTAGAAAAGCTCATACATTCTGTAACAATGAGAAGCCTAGAAGGAATGTTGCAACCAACACTTCCCCATCATGTGCTGATGTTTCTCTCACCAGCTCTATGTGTACTCCAGCAATGGAAGTGTTTGCCATTAAGTGTAATGCAAACACAACTCTTTGAGCAACTGCCTCGAGATCCGCTTACATCCGAGAGCAAATAAGGCCTGCGAAAAGAGTAACTAGGGAAACTAAATAGGAGCGTGTTCTGGCAGTCCCTACTTGGCAGATGCAAACAGTTTGTCATTACATCTCTAGGGTTACCTTCAGACAGCAGGGGTGAAACCTATTACAGCAATTTGAACTCAAACAATTGAGTCCATCAATAATAGTTTTTATTTCCTCAAGTTTGTCTGTTGTCAGGATGGAAAAGGCTCTGAAACAGCATCAAGATCATCACTGGACAGTAAATATTTTCATTTAAAACATGCTGAGATTCTTTTGCAGCTTTGAAAGCACTTTGATTAACATTCATTCTTTCACGTAATAAAACTCAGTGGAAATATCCATAACATACATGCTCTGAAACCTACTGGAAAAATAAGTTACTGATCTCAAATGTCACCTGCCTTTGAGAGAAGTGTGCTCTAATGTTATCCCCTGGCAGTCGCCTAACTTTGCATTGCAAATTAATCTCCACCAAAGTGGTGATGCAACTGTTATCTGTAACAAAAGCCTGTTCAGGTCACTCTGGGGAGGTATCTGCTTTCTTTCCTCTGCAAGATAAGAAAACCTATTTTTGTGACTTTCATCCAACAGCAGGAAAACAACGGCCTGTTTAAGTGTCCTTGAGTAAGTTTGAACCGCCACCTGTTCACTGCACAGTAACACCTAACACACCTTAAATCTAAAAATGTGAAATTGGAGAAGAGGGCGAACAGTTATGGATCATATTTCACAGACACCCAAGTTATTGTTTGTGGTTACTCATTTGTGTAACAACAGCCGTTGCTCCTTAGATCTGAGCAGGGGAGCATACCAGTTGTTTTTCTTTTTTGTGCTCCTCATCCTCATCTTTCATCAGAGGAGATGGTGTTTGCTTCTCCAGTTACCACAACATGCCAGGCTGTTGCTTAGTGATGCTGCTCTATAAAGCAGCTTCCTGTACTCGTACTTTAAACAACATCCCCAGCCACTCATCTCAGGTGAACGAGGGACTTCTGCAAACAACGAAAACATGGTAAGGACCTTTTTATTTTATATTTAAGTTCCACACATGAGCTACTCTTAATATGTTATGTAGAAAAACACCTCAGAAAGACATGTTAGTTTTATATTGTGTGCTACACAACGGTCTGGTTTGGTGTATAAAGCCAGTTGGAGACCTGTTTGATTTTAGAGCTGCAAATGAGCATAGTTGGCTTTTGTCTGCTTTTCAATGTTTCTCCTACATAACTGAAGTGAGACACACTCTTTGATTACTTCTTAAAATGTTCCTGGATCCAATTTTTGAACATACTGTGTGTTGAATTAGGGGATCACTCTAGATTGGCTCTGTTATTTGTCAGGGGGATTGAGTAACAGCTCCTCTCTTGGGAAAATACACCTTAGTACTGGGTTTAACATGTGATCTTGATTCATTTTTTAGTCTGAACTGATGTTCCCTGTTGGGATGCACTGACTTATTTTCTTGTTTTTCCTAAACATACAATCTGGATTTAAAAATGTTATTGAAAAATAAACTGTTTTTAATCCAGCCAACACCCAATCCTCCAGTTGCAGATGATGGTAATTTTAAACAAATTCAGTGCAAAAAGCTCTTGACATCTGTACCACTTGTTCTTGCAGCGTGAATGTATCTCTGTCCATGTTGGCCAAGCTGGAGCTCAGATAGGCAATGCGTGCTGGGAGCTCTACTGCCTGGAGCACGGCATCCAGCCAGATGGTCAGATGCCCAGCGACAAGACCATCGGAGGAGGGGACGACTCCTTCAACACCTTCTTCAGTGAGACTGGAGCTGGCAAACATGTTCCTAGAGCGGTCTTTGTGGACCTGGAGCCAACTGTCATAGGTAATATGATAAGACTCCAGAGATATTTACAAAAGTATTGGAATGAGTTTTTCAACAATGACCTGGATTTGCAAAGGTGTGATTGTATTGTCATTTTTATTGACTTACAGATGAGGTCCGAACAGGAA